CATTCCACTGGTAAGCATGAGAATCATGACCCCAGAGAGTAACACAGTCTTCCTCTCTGAAATTTATATACTTCAATTACACGCTTCTTTACTGTATATGAAAATATTTTAACCACTCGAGCTAAAAAAAAGACATTTGCTTTCAAATTTTAAAAGCCGAATATAAAAAATTAAATATGCGCAAAATAGAAAACAGAATATTCTTCAAGCTCGGGGAAAATTGCATCACATACTGCTATCGTATTCCCGTGTATAATACCTGAAATAATACAAAAAGTTAAGTCTAGGTTTTTACAATAATGAAAACAAAATCCGGATAAAAACGCATTATAATATTTTATCAAAAATACGTTTTGAAAAGTTTGAACTAACCTGCCGTCGTACCAGTGATTGTTTGGTTCCCCACGGAACCAGTCAGTCGTAGTCATTGGTATACCTTCCGGATAACCCCAAACCCATGTTCCTTCAACGGCAAGGTCATTTCCGCTCGTCCAGTAACCAATAGTCTGAGGATCTGAAATGTGAAGAGTTCCTTGTTTTTTATTTATCTATTCGGTTTAAGTTTTCAAGCCGAATACCGGTGGTTCTTGTAAAGCTTATCGATGATCATTCTTGAACTTTGTTCTCATCGTAAACAATTTTAACAAATTTAGTGATCTTAGGCATACTTGAATATTTCCTCCATCTCCACCTCAAATGGAAGTGAACACTTAAATTAACTTTAATCTGGCAATAGCTATCAATGATAAGGGCACACTATAGTACAAACTCTACAGAACAATACCTTTGACAGACAAATACTTTGGTTGGTGCTGAGACGTTTTGCTCTACGGAGGTTAAATCTTTTACGAAGTAAATGTATTACCATGGATGAGATGATTTCATTTGTGTAAATAAGTGATTGTTCTAAACAAAGCCTTTCTTTAGTGGTCAAGTTAAATATATTCTGATATTTCATAGCGATAAAGAAACAATATTTATTTTTATTTTTTCAAATTTACAGTAAATTGATCCCCATTGAATGTCAGCTGGAAATTTTTAACCTGATTCTCTCAATTTCCACCTGGTTCAGCCTTTTTTAATTTTTTCTTTCAGCCTAGTTCAGCCTTTTTAATTTAGAGATAAATGCGCCGCGTCATGACAAAACCAACATAATGGGTTTGCGACCAGCATGGATCAAGACCAGCTTACGCATCCGCGCAGTCTGATTCCTGGCATCCGCGCAGTCTGATCAGGAATCATGCTGTTCGCTATCAGTTTCTCTACTTGTTATAGAGTTGTAAGCGAACAGCAAAGATTCTGGTCAGACTGCGCGGATGCGCAGGCTGGTCTGGATCCATGCTGGTCGCAAACGCATTATGTTGGTTTTGTCATGACACAGCTCAAATCAACAAATTCTTACTGTCATGTACATGCTGGTGCTTGATGGTACGTTTCAGGAATTCTTCTTCGTCTTTTGATTTAACATCAACTAATTTAGCATCTAGATCGTGGCATGCTTTCTGAAAAATGAAAGATATTGTGACACAAAAGAACACCAGTATGAAGAAACTTATTAACATTTTGAAAGTTTTTCTAAAATTGTTTAAAAAAAGACAATGTATAATCTTCCTGATGTTCATTTAGCAATTAATTCATTTTGTTTATAGATTTAACACTACATGTTCAGATTCTACTAATTGATAGGGTTAAAGCGCAACGTGCGAAATGATAAAATGTACTGGTAAACGCGTTTCATAAAATATTAGGTCATCAATTCATTTTACAAAGCGATATTTTTTAAAGATAAATTATTTAAACTAAATGGTAATTACCGCGGCATGGAACCATGTCTGTTTTGTTGTCACAAATGAATAACAGTTCCCGTTGAAAGTTATCCAGCCGTTTGGACATGCGCTGACCACTTAAAACGAAACAAAAGTATATAAACCACTGTGTGTTTAGTTATATATCGAAATTCAATATATCATGATGGCGAAAATCTCGAGATAAAAATTTATTCATGTAAAAAGTTTGTCACGACTATCTTCTTATTATGTTCTCCTTTCTTATCACTGACAAATAATGGTCAAATAATTGTGAACCTTGTCATGTTAACCCTGAACCTACTGGAACCCAATGTGATCAGCCTTTGCCACCAGTATAGAGCTAAACCAGCCTGCACATCCGTGCAGTCTGACCAGGCTCTATACTGTTAGCAGCTCAAATTTTGTTTTGTTGATACTGTAATCCCTTGAATTTTGAATGGACTGTTTCAAATTCATAGCTGGACAGATCCTTTATAGAAATATAGTAGGTTAAAGGTTATCCATAATTATACAATTGAAGATAATGACAAGACATAACATCTTATCAGCATAAATATAGACAATAAAATCTGAGTCATTCTGATAAACAAGAAATCTACTAAATGTTGAACAATTTATAACGACAATATTGTTACAAATTGTTTTAGCATCATTCACGCCAATGCAAATCAAATTGTTTCAGTCTAAATGTTGCATGTTTGTTAGTTAAGTCGATAGTGTTTATATGTATATGAGTACTGTATTCCTAGAAAAGATTTCGCGCATTTTAAGTTAGCGGTTTTCGCGGTAGGCATGATTCCGCAAATCTTTATGGCCGCGAATATGTCACTTATAACAAATCCGCGAACATTTCTAGCTTCAACCAAATATAACATAAAAAGTGCAGAATATTTATTATACAGTAATCTACTTACACAAAACAACATAATAATTACCAACAAAGGTGTTAGAGAAATGTGTAAAGAATTATTTATGTATGTAATGGATACTAGTTTTCACGCTGAAATTATTAGTAATTAACATGCTTAATGACATTATTTGCTAGTCACGGCCTTGACAAACGCATTTACAGTTTGCGAACATTGAATGACTTGGATTTCATTTGCTTGGAGTAGGTGTAATCCTTTGGTAAAAGTACAATAGCGATCAAGTGCTACATTGATAAACAGCTGTTATGTTGTTATAATAAAAATATGTACAGTCCGATAATGTGTAAAAAAATACGTATCGACATTTTGGAGATAAAGTCAGTTATGACTCAAATGAGAATAAAAGCTAACGGGTCTGACTAAATCTTACTTAATAACATAATGAAAAGGTAAGGAAAACATTTTTATCAGACACATAGAAATTAGAAATAGGTGAAGGGCGAATGGATATAACATACCGTGACAATGCATTTTTATATAGATCATTTAAAGTAAATGATAATTAACTGCTGACAATGCAGCATTTCAAACATCAGATAAATCTTGAATGATGAAGTAACGAATCCACGTTACATACATATGTGCGTATAAAAATGCTGACTTACTAAATACAAATGTACATATTTCTACATGGTTATGCATTATTCAAGCTCATTTTATTACATAGTGCGAATGAGCCATATATCAAATTATGTAACACAAATGCATCTCTAAAAAACTAACCTAAAATCGTGGCCAGTAATAAATGTAGAGCACATATATTCCACCACATCTTCGCGTTCCTAATGGTAACTCTTATCAACGGGGTCATTTTAAGTAAGTCAGTATCTACGCTTCTTCGAGGGTTTTTGGGGTCACGTGATTTGAAATATTGAAAATACGTAAACAAAAATAACAGCAACAAATTATTATTTCTTTCTTTGGGAGCTTTTATCTGTTAGAATTTATTTGATGCAATTGCAGGAATCATAATAATGCCAATCGAAACATCTCGGCTTTTATTTATAAAAACTTCTCATTCGAAGATTGTCAGAAAGGGTCAATTATGATGCCCTACTTAATGCACCATATAAATACTTTGGGAAGAAGAGGAAAAGCTCGTGGAACAAGCAATTGAATACAACATAATTATTTAATATATTAAGCTAATATTGTTTTAACACAAGTTACCCCTACTCCCGAGGAGTGCGAGATATAGCACGAAAGAAAAACATACAAGTTATCACAAAAATATAATCGTGTAAAACTAGTGTTATTTTTGGTGCTTAAAAGCATGGACCATCTACAGTGGCGTTGAGAAAGGCTTTTGATATATAATGTCGGTCTATATAGTGGTAGGCCTATATCAGGTATCAAGTCAAGTTTTTGCTATTTCCCGAGCTGGGGGATGGCACGGATTTACAACTGACTTGGGCGTAATCCCTTATGCTGTGTTCTCACCGCCGATCAGATCAACTCGATCAAGCACGATCAAGCGATCGGGTACCGGTCTAGCTCGGTCTGCAAGCTTGATCGGGGTGTACGAAGCGGTTTACCTTGGTTGGCATGACTTGGGCTTCCTATCCGAATTTTTTTGACATGTCAAAAAAATTCGAGTAGCGATCGAGTAGATAAGCGGTCGAGAAGCGATCGTATAGTGATCGAGTAGAAGATCTAGTTGATCGAGAATAAATCGTGTAACGATCTAGTTTGGTCGGGTATACATCGGGTATACATGATATTACCCGATCTGTACACGATCATCTCGAATTCTGCTCAAGCATTATCCGATCGCAACCCGATCAATTCGACCTCTGTTCGATCTATTGTCGAGAATAACTAGACTACTACCCGACTGCTACAAGACCACACACGATCGCTTCCCGACAGTTATTCGACCATACACGAGTTCACGTGACCTAGACAATATATAGATGGGTGTCTCATTAGCTGTTTAAAATTTGAAGATAGAGCAACTTCCAAATTCTGACAACAAAAATGCATAGAAAGGGTAAAAAGGCAACATGTTGTACGAGTAGTAGGACCATCTGGACCACAACTGCTACTGCTCAATCTCCATCATGAACTGATTTGAACTAGGAATGTTTGAAGTTTTTATTCTAAACAATTCAATACACGACTATTCACGACTCGATTACGATCATTACGATCTGGTATATAAATATGCTGTTGTGGAACCTGTCAAATATCAAAATGACAATTATTGCACTGTTTGCTGTAACAATAAATGCGTTATAACATTTCTTACCTTTTTATTTTCCAGACAAACTACTCGGGGAGAACGCCTTACGCTGCAGAGTTTTGAAATAAATTTCCAAACAGATGAAATAGATAGGATATAGCAATAAAGATTTCATAGCACATTAGATGTCATCCTCTTGTAGATACAGCCATTTTTGCAAGCCTCTTAATCATCTAGATCCATAAATAGCATGCGTCTTTATCACATAGATTATTTCATTATTGGAACAATTTGTATATATGAAAAAAAATGACTTTTGAAGAAATGAAACATATAAATTTTGATTTCCATTTCACAAATTCCAGAGGATACTCATAAAGGGAGTGGGGAAATCTTGTATTTCAATGTGTTTTTATTAAAGGGCAAAAATTTACGCTTTTCATTTTTGTGAAACAGACAGAGATGTTTGCTCAATATTTTAGTAATAAAAAATATTTTTGTCTCAAATTTATGTAATTTGTATAATATATAGTGTCTAGTGTCATAATATTGTTAATCATTAATGAGAATTGTTTCTGTGATATTTGAAAGATTTTTTAAATGTACATAATTGATCTGATCATATTAGACAGGAAAACTTATTTACAAAATTTATCTGTATTTCTGGAATGAGCTGCTTCAAAAAAATGAAGAATTAATTCCTTGCCAAAAAGTGGAATTAATATCGACTAATGATTAGGCTATGCACACTGCAATTTTGGTCTTTGGATTAAAGTAGCCTTAAAGATGTCACAATGAATTTGAAAAAAAATGTTTGAAAAACTTGGTGGCTTTTTATAAGCAATCAAAATAGAGTGCTTATTTGAACAGTAACAGCTGTTTTCAGATAATGATGTAGGAACAAGGGCCTGTCATTTAAAAATTATGCCGGTAACTTTGAACTGTTTCATTGAAGTTTTCCAAGTTTCGTATAATGTAAATTTATCTTGAATTAAAATGTTACAAAGTATTTATATATATTACCAGTATTCTGTATGTAGAAATTAAATGTCTCGTTCAAAATTCATGTTTACATGACTTTTATGACATAGAATTATTCCTTAAACCTTTGACGTTCCATTATCTTATTTAATAAAATTTGATAGATTTCATTTTATGAGCCAATTTGATTTAGTGATGTAAGATCATGGATGAAATTTTTTTCTTCAAGTGTTACAGAAAAATATTTTATTCAGATTCAAATGAAACAGTCTGTTTTATTTTCAAGTTAAGTGAAACATTTCTAATTTTTATTTGAATGAAATAAAATTTAGTTGTATCTGTTTAAACTGAACAAACCACTTTTTTCTTAAAAATTTTGAAATTGAACATTTTCAACAAAAGGAAACAATGTTTTATTTCAAGGAAAGCAGTCAAATTTTAGTTTATGTTTATCAGATAAAAGCACGACAAAATAAATAGATTAAACATATCAGCTTTATGAAATATATACATGTATTGTGCACATTACAATGTTTTTATATGTTAATGATTGTTTAACCTGTGTTATGAAGAGCAAAAGAAACATGTGATATTTATGTTTGGTTTGATTATTTGGGTCCAGGGATGTTTTTTTCTATTTGTTTTCATTGTAGACTTTTATTTATACAGTACATTTTAAAGCCATTTTTTAGTTATAAATATATTTATATATTATTTTTTATTAAAGTTTTGTGATAAAGACTTTTTTTCTTGTTTATTTTTTCTGTTTTATAACTGTTTCCACATTTTTGTTAGATTTTTATGAATATATAATATTATATTTACACACTAAAAAGACTATTTCAACATTGAAAAAGAAGTTTCAATGTTCATGTATATATGACCATTTTAAAGAAGCTTTTTCATAGTTTTGGTATAAATATTTACAATTTGTGCAGTAAATTAAGTTTGACAATAATACATCACATAGCTGAGATACACTTGATATGAAATTGAGTATTTTGTTTGTTGAATCAGTTTGACGTTTCACAAATTGAAAGCACATGCATTTTGTTTATGGTTCATAATATTTTGGAATGATTTTGTTTTAAGATATGTTGTTAATGATGTTCAATCTAAATAATTTTCTATGTTGACAATGTGTTGTAAAGAAGGCTTTTTTGTAATTTGAAGAAAAATAATAATACCTTTTCCCTAAATTTACAAGACTGCTTCCTTTAAAGGTATTCAATTCTTTGAAGAAAATAATATTTCACCCAAAATTTATGAGACAGCTCCTTTAAAGTCTGCATTATCATTTCATGCAGTTGTTCACATTGGTTTAACTCTTTGATGATTAAACCTTATTTGCCAAATTTATATCAGAAAATTCTGTCAAAATATTTAACAAATATTTCATTGATCATGTTCAGAAATAATTGTCAAGATTTTGCTGTGGAATACTTTTTTGATTATTTTCATTCATTCAATTGGAATTGAAAAAGAAAAAATCAACATGAAGTTCAAAGTTTGTTCGTAAATTCCTTTTTGCTTATTTACAATTTCCTTTTTGTCATTAATATTTTAATAATACTTATTGACAATATCTTTATATTTTGAAAAACCTATATGGCTTTATTATATCATTTATTATTTAGAACATAATAAAAATAGTATATTAATTTATTTATCCACATGTATTTAAAATCTTTTTTCTTTCATAAAAAAATTCCGTCCAGATGAATTGTTTTTGTAAATGTTTTAATTGTGTTAAGTGTCAGGGAACAATATTTAAAGTTTAAAAATGTATATTCTTACATGAGAAAAGCATTGAGAAAAAAACTACAATGTTCTTTTGGACTATTTGTGGTTGTTACAGTATTCAATACATTAGAAATACATATTTTGTTAAAATATTATAAGAGCAAACTTCAACTATGGCAAATATATTATATTAGTTAGATTTTAACGCTATTTCTGAAATAAAGTTACACCATATTAACAATGCTGGAAAAGGAACATGCAGTGCATGAGCCACAGATGCAATGGTTTGTGAATGGTGTTTTCAAATGAAATATTAAAACATGTAACAACAAAATATAAACATAAAATGTTTACTGACAAAATATTTAAGTGAATTTTATTTTTGTTAGCATTTGTATAGGTTAAGTTATTTTTTTTTTCAAATACTTTTGAAGATTGTGTAACATAAATAGATAATCTATGGAAATAGCAAATTAAAAAAAAACAAACAGAACACAAATTTGATAAAAACAAAACAAAACAACTAAGTCATTTGGAATAACATTGTATTGAAAATGTCAAAATGACCTTTTTTTTTTGTTTTTAAACATTTTCACAGCGATCTGCTCAAGTGGAAAATTATATTTAATAATGTAGAGACATCTGTTATATATTCAATTTCATCAATAAATGTATTTGTTCTTAGGAAAATATTCCTCTCTTTCTTTTCCCATCGTTCTTTTTTTTTCTTATGTGCAACGGCATTTGAACATTTGGATTGGACACCATGGGGTTTCCTCTAATAGAAAGGTAGAAAAATCGATATTTTATTACTAGTATATTGTATAGTCAATTTGGGACTTAAAGCCATTTTCTGGAGAAAATACTTATAACTAAAGATCGTTTTAAAAACGATTTATACTCGTTTATTTCACAATATATATCAAATGTAACCAATGAACCCTCGTCATTTACACAAACGGATCTCCCAATATAAAATTTAATTTATTTGTATAATATTTAATTTGGATCATTTTAATTTAACCTCGTTTTGATTTCCTACGTTTAAAAAAATCCATAACACATACTAGAAGTGACAAAGTTCTAAGAAAAGATAAAATAAATTAGATATTATACGTATTTGATTACCGCGTGTATCTGCAACGAATGATCCTAATAGACTTGCAGATGTAAGCCCGATGAATTTCTCAGTGAATGGGAGGTCAATTCAATATAGTTTCTTTATCAAGACGCAAAACGTTAGGTCAGCCTCCCCGTTAGGCTCATACCGTCACGCCATGTAGCTCGAATCACAGAGCTTTGGCTCAGTGTTAGTTTTATGTAGAAGGTGCTACGCTCGTCAAATTATATTATACCAACGAAAGGACTTTTTTTTATCAAAACATTCTTTTGAATATATTACGTGAGAAACCCAGGAAAATGTGAGTATAATGTACTCGAATTCGGCCTTTTTGTAGTTTACAAAGCTGAAACCAGGAATATTTTGTGGGGAAAAAATAGTACATGTATGCATTTTATTTTTCAGGACTTCAAAGAATTTACTATAATAAGAATTTACTAAATAAGTTATGGAGAAATTGTAGGAGATTTGTGTAAAACACTTCACGTCGCTATCAATATAGAATATGCTGTCTTGAAAAAGAGCTAGTCTATGCTGACAATAAAGAACAACAAATTTGCAGTATTTTTTTTCAAGTGTGTCAGTCAATTATAGATAACAAACCAACACTTGTAATCACTTCTTTTATTCAAAAGTTTGAAAAGAAAAGTGCATACGAAATCGTTTAATTGTCTCATCATTATCCAACTACGTCAACATCATCTCTGAAAAATAATGAATTTGATATTATTATGTCCCTTCATTATTAATAACAAAACATTCCTCCATAAAGAACAATTCATAGTTGATATACTAGAAATTGCAATATCACTTATCGTTACGCCGGGTCTAAATAATTACTAGAAATACAGCATGTTTTATGTATTTATGGACCAAGAGCTATCTTTGTAAATAAATAATTGTACATACTTGAGTTCAAGTCTTCATTTTAACAAATAAAACGAGCAAATTATGCAGTTAGAAAAAATAAAAAAATATATATATTTCTTGTATTAAATTTCTAAAGACTCGTATATGGCTGATTTTTGTTTCGACGTACAATCGACTTGAAGAAGACTACCTTGAAGTTGGTGTTGCCGTTTGTCGTTCATCGTTTATTGTATTAACTAAATGTGTTTTGTTGTGAGATTTTACTTACGCTGCTTTACAGATATAGAAGTCCTGATTGTCACAAGGTTGGTCATTCCACTGGTAATCATGGGAATCATGACCCCAGAGTGCAACACAGTCTTCCTCCCTGAAATATATATCCTTTAACTTTATGTCTTAATATTGTTCATGAAAATAATTTTTTGAGAGAGTAAGATGTAATCAGGTTTCAACGAAGAAATGTGTGCTACAAGACACGTACAAACACACTCGAGCAGGGCGTAAAATACCGGAATTTGCTTTACAATTTTAAAAGCTGAATAAGAAAATCAATTATAGGTTTTAAAAAAAACCGAAAGAGATGACATTATTATAATTTCAAATAAAATGATCGGTTCTGCGCAAAATGGAAAACAGACTATTCTTCAAGCTCGAAAAAAATGCATCGCATACTCGTGCAGTGGTATTCCCGAGCATAATTCCCGAAAATCATCAGTGCTACTTACACGATATATAAAAAGTAGGTCTAGGTTTTCACAAGCATGAAAACAAAATCCGGATGAATAGTTGAATACGCAATATAATATTTATTTTTTATACATGTATTACGTTTAAAAAAGTTTCAACTAACCTGCCGTTGTACCAGCTGTTGTTTGGTTCCCCTGGGAACCAGTCAGTCGTAGTCATTGGTATACCTTCCGGGTAACCCCAAACCCACGTTCCTTCAACAGCAAGGTCATTTCCGCTGGTCCAGTAACCAATAGTCTGAGGATCTGAAATGTGACAACAAGTTCCTTGTTTAAATTGATATGAGCCGCGCCACGACAAAACCAACTTAATGCGTTTGCGACCAGCATGGATCCAGACCAGCCTGCTCATCCGCGCAGTCTGATCAGGATCCATGCTTTTCGCTTACAGACCCAATAATAAGTAAAGAAACTGATTGCGAACAGCATGGATCCTGATCAGACTGCGCGGACGCTAATAGATGTTTTAAATTAACTTTAATCTGGCAATGGTTAGCAAAAATTTACAATAATTTGACACCCAAATTGAATTTTAAATTTATTGTCAGCTGGAAATTTTTAATCTTATTCTCTTAATTACCGCCTTGTTCACCTTTTTTATGTCCCCGCTATGTAATGGCCGGGGCATATAGTGTTACCCTGTTCCGTCATTCCGTCATTGTGTCATTCCGTCATCATCAGATTCCGTTCATTATCTTAGTAACGGTTGCACACATTCAACTCAAATTTGACATATGGATATGTCATAAAAAATACATGTCAAGTTCGAATTTGGTCATGGTTCGATGATTTTTGGCAGAGTTGTGCCCTTTTTACTTTAAAATAATATGAAATTTTCAGTTCCCGTTCATTATCTCCCCAACGGTACAACACTTTCAACTCAAACTTGACATATGGATATGTCAAAAGAATGCGCAAGTCAAGTTCAAATTTGGTCATGGTTCGATGATTTTTGGCAGAGTTGTGCCCTTTTTACTTTAAAATAATATGAAATTTTCAGTTCCCGTTCATTATCTCCCCAATGGCACAACACATTCAACTCAAATTTGACATATGGATATGGCATGATAAAATACAAGTCAAGTTCGAATTTGGTCATGGTTCGATGATTTTTGGCAGAGTTATACCCCTTTCACTTTGAAAATAATATAAATTTTTCAGTTTCTGTTTATTATCTCCCCACCGGTACAACACATTCAACTCAAATTTGACATATGGATATGTTTTTGGAATGCCCAGGCCAAGTTCGAATTCGGTCATGGTTCAATGATTTTTGGCAGAGTAATGCCCCTATCACTTTGAAAATAATATGAAATTTACAGTTTCTGTTCATTATCTACCCAACAGTGTTACATATTCATCTCAAATTTGACATATGGAAGTTGGAATTTGGTCATGGTCCGATGATTCTTTTGGCAGAGTTATGTCCCTTTCACTTTGAAAATGATATAGATACATCTTAGGAATAAGCAGTTTAAGTTTGAATTTGGTCGTCGATCAATGATTTTGGACAAACTTATCTTTCTTGAATGTTTGAAAAATTTTGAACTTTCAGTTTCAGCACTCATAATTTTGTGGAAATGTATGTAGCCATTATTTTAGCTACAAATATGAAATATGCTATTTTCAAAAGGTTAAGTGTTGTGCAGCCGAAAAAAAATGATAAAATTCATTTACAAAAAAAAAAAGTAACAAATATTTCTAGTGGAAAGCCACAATGTTATCACTTGGAAATCCAAAATCTAACTGACCAAATTTTCTATCTTTACAATATTTCTAAAAAATGGTTTCGTTTTAAACTGACCGATACAATTTAAACATCTATGTTTCTTAAATAACAAAATGACCAATCAGGTTTCAATACAAAATAATGTAACATAGCAACATAGAATTTATTACAACAATTATCACCTGGATATTTTATCAGTCATAAGGTTTAACAACATGATAAGTACAGACAGCTTAATTGACCTTATCACTTATATATTATAAAACTTTTAGCACAGTTGATTGGACAAAGAGGAAACGCCGCATTTTAATCTTTCAGTTACATAATTTTAAATTTGACATCTGTTATTGAAACATATACTATTTGTAACTTAACATATTTGAAATTTCACAAAATTTGTTTTGAAAATATGACCTTTTAGAAAATGATTATATATGTTTAAAAGAAAATCATCATGCATATTTATTCTTTTTTTTTTTGTAAATGAATTTTATCATTTTTTTTCGGCTGCACAACATAAGACTGAATAATTTCAGTGCCTTGAACATTGTATGGAAATGGCTTGTGTTAACATTGAAAAGTTTTAAGGGCCTTCAACTCAAAATGAAAAAATAATTTGTGCAAACAAATTTGGAACTAAATATTATAACATCTGAAATTTTGGCTGCATGCCGGGGCATCCGTGGCATGATGACACATTTCTAGTTTAATTTCTTCTTTCAACCCATTTCAGCCTTTTTAATTTAAAAATTAAATAAGCCGCATCACGACAAAACCAACATAATGGGTTTGCGACCAGCATGGATCCAGACCAGCCGTCCGCGCAGTCAGATCAGGATCCATGCTGTTCGGTATCAGTTTCCCTACTAAGCGAACAGCATTGATCCTGGAGCGTAGGCTTGTCTGGATCCATGCTGGTCGCAAACCCATTATGTTGGATTTGTTATGACACGGCTCAAATCAACAAATTCTTACCGTCATGTAGATGCTGGTGTTTAATGGTACGTTTCAGGAATTCTTCTTCGTCTTTTGATTTAACATCAACTAATTTAGCATCTAGATCGTGGCATGCTTTCTGAAAAATGGAAGATATTGTGACACAAAAGAAAACCAGTATGAACACATTTATTAACATTTTGAAAGTTTTTCTAAAATTGTTTAAAAATAGACAATGTATAATCTGCCTGATGGTAATTTAGCAGTTAAAGCATTGTTTTATAGATTCAACACTACATGTTCAGGTTCTACTTATTAATGGGGATATAGCGCAACGTGCATGCAAGAGGATAAAATGTACTGATAAACACGTTTCATTGAGAATGCATTACCATGATTCATAATATTATGTCATTAATTCATTTTACAAAGAGATATTTTTTAAAGATAAATTAACTGAACTAAATGGTTATTTACCGCGGCATGGAACCATGTCTGTTTTGTTGTCACAAATGAATAACAGTTCCCGTTGAAAGTTATCCAGCCATTTGGACATGCGCTGGCCACTTAAAAACGAAACAAAAGTATATAAAATACTGTATGTTCATTTACAAATGTGTCTCCAAACTCCAAAGAGCTTTCAAACAATATATCCTAATTTTCAACCGCACATGTCACACCTTTCATGGCAAAAAAGTAAAACAAATCCCCCGAGATTCATGAAAATAAGAAAACAATACGTTTCTAAATTCGATATACATGTAGTTGGTGCTAGGGTGGTGCGACGACGTCTTGAAATTACCTCTACCGTCCTTGTACTGGCGCAATCAAACTGGGCCTCTAAAATTTTCAATTTTACCATTTTGGGCGGTCTATAGGAATTCCGTTTTTTCTATCTAATTGAGTATGTATATGAGATATAATAAAAAGTGTAGAATCTGCCAACACCTCCCTAGCACCATCTTGAGCTGTATTCAGTTAAAATTTAATTAAGTGTATTCAGTTTACCAATTTAACTGGAACGACTTATTACAAAGTAATAGCTCGGAATTCCATATTTGGTGATGACGATAATCTCGAGATAAAAATCTATTAAAGTAAAAATTTGTCACGACTATCTCCTTTAATGTTCTCCTTTCTTATCACTGACAAATAATGGTCAGATGATTGTGAATGCTAAATGTCATGTTAACCCTTAATCTGCTGGAACCCAATGTGATCATCCTTTGCCATCAGTATAGGGCTTAACCAGCCTGCACATCCGTGCAGTATGACCAGGCTTTATACTGTTGGCAGCTCATTTTTTTTGTATTTTGATATTGAAATCCCTTGAAATTTGAAAGGATAGTTTAAAATTCAAAACTGGACAGATCCATTGTAGAAATATAGTAGGTCAAAGGTTAAGATAATGACAAGATATAGCGTCTTATCAGCATAGTATAGATAAAATATAAGTCATTCTGATAAACAAGAAACCTGCATAATGTTGAACAATTTAGAACGCCAACATTGATACAAATTCAAGCATTAGATAGATAGATTTATTTCAGTATTCAGTAATAACATGGTAAAAACATATCCAATACATGATAAAACAATAAAAACAAATATCAATGTAAAAGAAATGCACCATATCAAAAACATCATACCAAGGATAACACAAGAAAGAGAACTTAATCTCTTATTTCCACATGTGGCATTCACGTAAATGCAAATCAAATTATTTTAGACTTAATGTTGCATGTTTGTTTGTTAAGTCCGCAGTGTTTATATGTATATGAGTTTTCAAGATGATATCCTTCAACATTTTTATGAAATATTGTATATAACATCGGTGAAGGGCGAATGGATATAAAATACTGTGACAATGCATTTTTATATAGATCATTTAAAGTAAATGGTAATTTACTGCTGACAATGCAGCATTTCAAACATCAGATTGAATCTTGAATGAAGTAACGAATCCACGTGTATGACATACATATATACGTATAAAAACCCTGCTGACTTACTAAATACATATTTCTACATCGTTATGCATTATTCAAGCTCATTTTATTCCATAGTGCGAATAAGCCATATATCATCAAATTATGTAACACAAATGCATCTCTAAAAAACTAACCTAAAATCGTTGTCAGTAATAAATGTAGAGCACATATATTCCACCACATCTTCGTGTTCATAATGGTTACTCTTATCAAAAGGGTCATTCGTAAAGTGGTCAGTATCTACTCTTCTTCGAGGGTTTTGGGGGTCACGTGATTTGAAATATTGTACAATATTATTTAACACCTGATTCACCTGTACACGTCGAGCAGCTAGATACCCAAATTACAATATATGAGATCTCTAAAACAATTTCATCGTTGAATAGAAATAAAAGTGCGGATTATCAAAACATAGTGGCGGATTTTTTCATTGATGCTAATTATTTTATAAGTAAATATCTGTGTGTTATCTTTAATAAAATATTTGAAACAGGTGTTTATCCTGATTCATGATGTAAGGAGATAATTGTCCCATTACATAAAGTCTCTATATTCTCAGCTGAATATTTCATATTTAATTTGATAGATCTTCAATACTTTTTGATATATAATCGCAGTTGCAAATTTTTTTTTTGGCAACTCTCGAATAATGCCATCTTTAATATTTATTTCACACCACATTTAGTTTACCTTTTCATCGAACTTTGTCACTTCTAGTACAATAAAGACGTGATATGGATTTTTGGACACAGGAAATGATAACGAGATTAAATTGGTAAGATCCAAAATGATAATATTATACAATTTAATATTGGAAAATCAGATGGTGCCAATGCCGAGAGTTCATTGGTTACATTTTATATATTGTGAAATTAACGTGTATATAATTGTTTGAAAATTGAACTAAAAATCTATTTTACTCGAGAAAAGGGCTTTTAGTCACTTTTTTACTATATAACAGGAAATGTGTCCATAAGACACTGATGCCCCCACACACTACTGTTTTGTTCTATTGAGGTACAGCAGGACAGTATAAAAAATGACAAAGGAAATTCTACCATTCTCCCCCCTACCCTTAAGTGGTTGGACATAAAACGAGGGTCGCAATTTTTCCAATGTTGACCATATTCATTTTCCCCAATATTAAGAATTTCAATTCGCATAGGGTTTAGAAGAAAAAAAAAAAAAAAAAAAAAAAAACAAGCAAACCCCAGATGCACAAGCTACACTTCCTTAACACAGTCTGTAAAGTTTAGAAACTAAGGTCAAATACATTTTGGGCAGGCCAAGGTGAAAATTTCAAATTTATGCTAGTCAAGGGCAATCACTCTAACAAAACTGAATCAATCCACACTCCAAACCAAAACCAAAGTTCACAACATTCCTATCAAGTTTCATGACTTCAGGTCAAATACCTTTCGGGCTATGCGCGCACAGATTGAATTTGCAAATTGTTACTAAGTCAAGGGCAATAACTCTACAAATACAGAATAAATCCACAAGCAAAATCCCAGGTACACAACTGCACGTGCCGACCAACATTTCTGTAAAGTTTCGTGACTCCAGGTCAAACACATTTTGAACAATGCACCGCACAAGTTGAAAATTGCAAACTTATTTTAAGTCAAGGAACCACGGACACGCAACCGAATTGGGATAAAGGACCATTTCTTTTGTTATTTTCTTTTGTATAACAGAGGGTCATTGGCCCTTATCTCTATTGTTATGGAATGAACTGTATTGCCCTCTTTTTTATGAATCTACAGTTAGATTTCTGTTTACACGTAACAGTTATATTTCTGTTTTAAATTAGATGGCTCTTAATCCCTATTCGTAGTGTGTGAACAAGGAATGATGGCATGGGACATGGGCAAATCTAAAACTACACCATACCCCCCCCCCCCCCACCCACCCCAACCGCAGAGTGCGGATACACCGACTTTTCTACTTTTCTGATGGAAAAAATCTCAGCGTGTTGGATCCATGCTAACATTCAAATGTTCATTGCACATAAGAAAAAAGAACGATGGAAAAAAAAAGAGAGTAATATTTTTCTAAGAACAAATACATTTATTGATGAAATTGAATTTATAACAGATGTCTCTACATTATCAAATATAATTTTCCACTTGAGCAGATCGCTGTGAAAATGTTTAAAAAAACAAAAAAAAAAAGCCTGTAATTTTGACATTTTCAATACAATTCTATTCCAAAATACCTTGTTGTTGTTTTTGTTGTTGTTTTTTTTTTTTATCAAATTTGCTACTTGCTATTTCTATAGTTTATTAATGTTGCACAGTCTTTAGAAATATTTGAAAACGTTAATTTAATTTATACAAATGCTAACGATAAATATTAATGCACTGAAATATTTTGTAAACAATTCATCATTGTCTAGTAAACGTTTTATGTTTATATTTAGTTATGTTTTGAATATACACTATGCATCTGTGACTCATGCACAGCATGCCTCTTTCCTCGGTATTTCAGATACATAGCGAAATTATGTAACTAATATAAAATATATGTCACAGTTAAGATTGCTCATCATATTTTAACAAAATATTTCTAATGCATTGAATACTGTAACAACCACAAATAGTCCATAAGAACATTGTGCTGTTTTTCTCAATGATTTTTCTCATGTAAAAATATACATATACAAACTTTAAATATTATTCCCTGACACTTAATACAATTAAAACATATATAAAAACAATTCAATTGGACGGATTTTTTTTTTTTTTAAAAAAAGAAGATTTTAATACATGTGGATATATAAATATAATAATTCTAATATGTTCATAAAAAATAGTAAATGATACAATAAAGTCAAATAGGTGTTTTCAAAGTATAAAAATGTTGACAATAAGTATTATTTAAACCTATAGAGACAAAAAGGAAATTGTGAAATAAGCAAAAAGGATTTTACGACAAGCTTTGAACTTGACGTTGATTTTTTTCTTCTGCAGTTCCGATTGAATGAATGAAAATAATCAAAAAGTATCCCACAGCAAAATCCAGACAATTTTTTCTAAACATGATCAATGAAATATTTGTTAAATAATAGTTCAAAGTTCAAATTTTATTTGCAAATCGGCAAATCTTTGCCTTTGGCAATACATACAAAACATACATACATAGATCTTAAAATATAGCACACATAACTACAAGATACATATATAAACATTTCAAATATCAGTATTCGTTTTTAAATTAACAAATAACAAAGTATTGTTAATAATATATCATTAATTTCGTCTATTTATCATTTGTTCCATGGCATTAGATCGTAAATCAAAAGCTTTGTCCAAGTACTTACTTATCAGTAATAATCTATGTTTATTATTAGATGACATAATATAATAAAACTTATTCAGTGTGGGAAAAGATGCATTACGAATAAAAAGTTTTCTTAATTCTGAATAAAATGGACAACAAAGCAGGAAGTGATATTCTGATTCTATCATGTTTTGACTACAAAGTTTACATATTCTCTCATTTCTGTTTAAACCTATATATCTGCCAGTTTCAATTTCTAGAGAATGGGAACCAAGTCTGAAACATGTCAAACGTTTTCTTAACTTGTCATTTTGTATTACATTTAGATATTCCTCAAAACAAAAATTTGATTTGAAATTCCTACAATAAAAGAGTTTTAGCATGTTATTTATTTGCTCATGCCAATTTTGTATAAATTGATCTCTAAGGCGTTGTTTAAAAATTAAGCTAAAATCAGAAATAACATTATAGTTATCTAACAAATATGAAAATCCTAACTCATTAATAATAGTATGAGTTTGCCTAGCCCAGCATTTATTATTTCCATTAACACATTGATCTAAATACATGCTATATATAGGCGAATGCTGATTATTAACAATTTTATTCTAAAACTTTAATGATCTTTCTTTACACAAAATTGACAAAGGAATTTACCAAGTTCTCCATAGACAGCACAATTAGGAGTTTGTTTTTTAACACCAAGTACATATTTATAAAATTTTATTTGCAGTTTATCAATATCTTTATATTTGTAAATTTCCCATACATCTGAACCATATAAAAGAATTGGAGTTATCAGACTATCAAAAAGGTGCAGTTTAGTTTTAACATCTAGCTTTATCCTGTCAAAAATACCCAATAGACTGTTATATGCTCTAAGGCCTTGCTCTGCAAGAGTCTTAGTTGCTTCAGAATAGCTACCCGTATAAGAAAATTTTACACCTAAATATTTAAAATTATCAACAATATCTACAAACTAACTGTCAATGTTTACACTAAAATTATGTATAGATTTTCTTCTTTCAAAAACACAAACTTTAGTTTTATTAACATTAATTTTAAGCCCCAATTTTGACGAATAACTATATACATTATCAACTTGAGCTTGCAAGCTCTCTGGACTTGTAGAGAAAAGCACGATATCGTCTGCAAAAAGTAGCAAATATTTAGACAAGAGTTTAAGGTCATTATTCGACATTTTGTTAAGATCTATACATTTTTCAATATCATTTAAAAAAGAATAAATAGCAGGGGAGATAATAGCTCTCATTGCTTTAATCCAAGAGTTACGTCGAAAAATTCTGACATATTCATAAAAGCATTAATTTTTACACATGACACTACAGACGAATAAATTGCCTGTAACATATTTATCATTTTACAACTAATACCAGTATCTGACAGCTTAATCCATAACGCATCTCTTATAACTGTGTCAAAAGCCTTTTAATAATCAATGAAAATACAAAAGAGTTTAGAATTTTTGCTAAAACTTTCTGAATATGGAATGAAGTATAAAAATAGCATCAGAGGTTGATCTCGAATCTCTAAAACCAAACTGAATATCGCTGAAAATTCTTTCTGACTCACACCATTTATTAATTCTATTGCGCAATATTAACGAAAAAAATTTTGCCATACAATTTACCAAAGTGATGCCCCTGTAGTTGAGGGATTTTCATGATCACCTTTCTTATGTAGTAGATATAAGCCGAAAACCGTCCAATATGTAAAATATTGAATTTCATGAGGCGTGTAGCGCCGAAGGGAATTCAATATTTTACTTATTGGTCAGTTTGAGGCTTATATCTTACTTAAATTACTACTTTTACTATCAAATATCATGTTATCTATCGAAAAATTAGAAATAATGTATTTTTTAGCGAAAAATGTACAATATTACTGTTTTAGCAATTATCTTTTATTTACTTGGAAAACCCTATAGGTAGCCTCTTGAATAACAAAATGTCCGTAGCATGAAATTTTCGTGTTTTGA